TATATATAAACCATCACATAGCCATTGTAGAGATCATTGCTTCACATCTTTCTTTCTATTCATGTTCTATTGTTAGTTTCTTTTTCCAAGCTAATTCATGATGGGATTGTTCTCTTTCATTTGTTCTTTATTTGCACGTATTTGACCAAATGACTTATGTTTTCTCTCCCATTTTCTTCTTATGTGATGTTCTATTTTGCCGCATTTCCTGTCTTGGAACTTTTTTGTTGTTGAGTTTTTACTTGCTAGAAATTGAGTTGCAACTTGCAACATGCATGAGTTTCTTACTTTCTTATGTCTTTTCAAATTTCTTCTTTTTCTTACCCTTTTGTCTATATAAGTAGTTTTATTTTTGTTTCTTCGCATTTTATTTAGTTGCATTCCGATCGAGCACCTATTTCGTCTATGTTTGGTTGAGAAGTTGACTCTAGCTTGGTCGATCGATCAATCTTTTTTGGAACAAAGTCACAGAGGGAATAAGTGAAGCTGCCAGCATGATCTGGCTTTGATGGATAAAAAAAAAAAAATTTGTATGATGGAAAAACATCAAAACAATGACCTAACTTGACCACCATTGGCTAGGTCATGCTCTGACAGCTTCACTCCTTCCCTTTTTGTGGTTGCACACTTGCACCTTGGCTTCTTACCTTTTCTCCAATCTGCACTGTAAGTGTATTCCTTTTACATTTATTTCCATATGTTCTACTTTCACTAACATGTTCTTCTATATCCAGTTTTCTACAGGTTGAAAATGTTGAATGCATGTTCCTTTTGCCTACACAGCTGAGAAGAAGATTATTGAATGGTTACTGGAGAACCTCACATTGTTTCAATTTGTCAGTCATGTTTATAGTTGTTTTTTGTAGAGTTCAAAAACTTTGCAATAGACATCTCATGTATATCTGCTTATAAAAGAGTAATAATAATCCTTATCAATCAAACTCTGAAGTTTTGTTTAATTTGTTTCATCACATCTGTCTGTGCCATCTGAGTGTGAAGTTTTCATAATATTGGGCTTAACTTATTCACCCCTATTGGAGTCCAAAAGGGAAGAGTGTGTCTTTCTTAAAGCCCAACCCATATTTGCATGGCATAATGGGCTTATATGTCTGTCTTGGTGGAAAATTGGTAGAATCAATGTGTTAGACCGATAGATGTCATGTTAAAGTATGAAATTTCCAAACAAGATGATTATAAATTTGCTAATGATTGAATGATTCCATAGTTTTAGGAATGTAACAGATCATATTCCATTGAGCTTTGAAGAGACAAGTATACAACAACCAAAAGGATGAAAGAAGTGTTATTGAAATGAAAAATATTCCATAATCCATAACATTGGCTTTATGGAACTACCAAATAAAATCTAAAAAAGATTAAACAAAGCTAATCATGATCTATGCCCATTGCCCACAACATTAATCCAAATTCAATACGTTAGAAACTTTTCTTTATAATTAATTATTAATTTTTTCATGGACATTTGGCTATTGGGGATAGCTCTATATATATCCTGATTCCATCTACTGAACCTACTCATATAGGGATCAATTCTAAAAGAACAAACTTGTCCAAACTCTCAATAATTAGGTAGGACACTTTGTTAATACCTGGCATCAATTAGATGCAACACATGTTTTACAAAAGTTCATATATACTTCCCCTATGATTTTTAATAAAACAAATGCTTCTGTACGAAATGCTTAGGTGCGACAAGCAATCCTGACCACTTAAACTGTTCCAATAAGGAGCTACCTTATAACCTGTTCCAACAGTCAATTGGACCTACAAACACATAGCAGATAGCAGGTTTATAAGGGGGGAGCAGGTACCCAATTTTGGACTTGTTTGGTTTTAGCCCAACTACCATTTTTGGACCTAAAAATTTGCTTGTCGCACAGATTTAGCACCTAAGCGTTTTGTACACAAGAACAACTATTTTAATAAGTTGGTATGCTTAATCATGACTCATAGGTTTTATTATAGGCAATTCTTTACCTTAATCACTAGTTAATTAAGCTCCTTAAGTTGCTTTTAGCATATAAAGAGAGGTTCCTGAGTTCCTGCCCACTGAAATGCATCAAAATTCAAAACTAAAGCATTGATTGACGTGTCAATGATAGGGGGTTCAATACTTCGAATTATTGTTCCAAAATCATTGGATTTGAGCGAGATCTTGACAAATCCCGACGTCAAATTCAAATATTTCGTGATAGTTTGGGTGGTAAATTTTTTGATATATGTCGATAATTTACAAATTTTTATTTGGCAAGTAATTAGCTAACCAAAGTTAAGGTAGGGTTGAGTTGTTAGTTGGTTTGGGCTTGTAATACTCCAAGTTTCAGGCCAACGCTTAACCTAATATACCCTAAATAGTCCAATATCAGCACAGTTTCACTTCTTTTCTCGCCACCTATATATACACCTTCTCCTAAGTCCTAACCAAACACCTTGAAGTTGAAACATAAACAATGACTTCAGACTCAAAGTTGTTGTAGAATTATAAAACCGTGCATCACTTGCAGTTCAAGCTGCCAGCATGATCTAAAAATCTCTGCATGTAGGGATAGTCAGATCATGCTGCAGTTTCACCTGTTAATAGTAGCACGAAGAAAAACCCTAATTTTCATTTTCTCCATCCAACATATGAAGTCTAAGAAAGGTTTGTGATCTTCGTTAAGGATTTCTAGATATGGTGTTAGGTTTTTTTTT